TGTTCATCTCGTCAATGGTAACAAAACCCATGCTCGCCTTGCCGATCCACATAAGAATCCTTGAAAGATCAAAAACTGCAAATATTGCGGAGACTTCCACGCGGCTGAAAACTACCCAGCCTTTGGCAAAACATGTACCAAATGTAACAAAAAAATCATCTTGCAAAAGTCTGTCGCTCCACCACGAAACACAGTAATGAGAAACCAAAGAAGAAATCTAAAGATGAGCGCGAGTGAGTAAATCAGTTGAATGAAAATGGTGCATTGGATGAACCTGAAAGCAACGAAAGCATCTACTTCCTGCAATGTCCTAGACAAGAGAAGCAGTACATTATAGAAATTCTTGTAACAGCGACAAAACCAAAGACAACATTCCAATCAAATTTCAGGTTGACACAGGAGCCTCATGTAGCACCACCACTTAAAAGGATCACAAGAATCACCTATGAAAAGCCGAAAAAGTCCAATGTCAAGCTCAAGTTGTTTGATCAGTCCCTGATACAACCCATAGCCAGCATGAAACTCTACTGTACAGCCAATGGCGTGAGAAAGAAAGTCCACTTCGAAATTGTTGAGCATGCATCTACTGTCAGGAATAGCCTCTGCATGTTGACGTTAGTAGCGAGCAGTCACTAACCCAAGAGAAAATCCTTCTTAACTATCGTGATGTTTTTACTGGTCTTGACAAGCTAACTGGTGCTTATCATATACATATGGACCGTAATGCCAAGCCCGTTCAAGAAAATCTAAGGTGTGTGCCTATTCCAGGTAAAGATGAGCTTAAAAGCAAGATCTAAGAACTCGAGACCATGGGTGTTACCGTAACTGTGAAAGTTACAAAACCAACCACCTGAATCAGTAATATGGTTGCAGTGAGAAGGCCGAACAAACTCAGACTGTGTCAACAAAGGGACATTCTGTCTGCGCATGTGCAGTACAGAGAGGTTTTTATAAGTAGCTGCTGACACACACCCGAAAATGGCAAGCGCGCGTCCACTTCCCACTCTTTTTGAGCAAAACCAAAAAAAATATTATAGGCAAAATGGCCGTGTATGCAGGTCAGTTTGTCTTTTTAGTGTGTGTTTTGTTCTGTATTTTAAACGTAAGTGAAAGCAAAGAAAGGTTGAAGAATGGTTGTGTCGTGTGTGGCAGGAAGTCACAAGGAAGCCCTTTTAGACACGTCGAGCAAAACAAGGAGTTGGAAGTTTGTTTTGGAGAGCAAGCATTGGGCGATAACAGTGAAACCTGCAGAAGAGCCCTTCAAGACCACAGAAACACGGGAAACACGTTTCATTATGTTAGCCTTTTTCTCACGTAACTTATACGCTTATTTATTGTCGAGTTTTACCAGAGATATAAAGTTCTGTTCTGAACGTTTTGAAATATATCAGGAGACGGTTTGTAAACCAGCGCAAAGCATAATAATTGCAACTGTTTTGTAGCTGATTGTATAAAGCTTAATCAAAAATCGCTTTATCCACAAATGTTGCATTTGCCTATTTAAAAAATCGCCAAAACCTTCACGAGCTGATTTACTGCATCCTTCTAAAATTTACTGGTTCTTTTTCTGTTTAAAAAGTATGTTCACATGAATCTCAACAATCCGGGACGTGTTCGGAAAAGGAAAGAGTCAGTGAAAAAAGTGTCAGAGGAGTCAGTTGCTAGTGCGAGTAGTGATACATGTAGGGAGATGGATAGGGAGATGATGGTGTTGCCAAGACAGTCTTGTTTAGAAATGGAGCAAAAATTGAAGATTTTATCAGAAAGTAGATTTGTTTGCGTGAATTACCTTTGAACTCTTCAAGCTGTAAAAAGCACAGTCTTGACTGGACTTAACACCAGTAAAACAGACCCTGGCCAAAGGCTTAGACAACAGCTTATGTTTCCAAATATACTTAGATATCTGCCCAGAGAACATGCCGGTAAATTCAAAAGGGAGGATCCTCAACAACCAGTTTTTAAAAAAACTGTCTCTAAGTAGGATAAATAATGTTATGCACAGGAGTGAAGAAGAACGAAACAAGGAACTTTCAATGGGAGGTGTGTGCATGCTTACTGGAACATAGGCGCAATAAACTCAGTCAAGAGCAGCAGTGAATGACCATATTTTCTTTACTCCATAACAATAGAAAGGAGCCATAAATAGACGAATTTTACGATGAATAATAACACTGTCCCTACTCATTCAGTTGTGGACCCAAGGGGAGGGTCCAAAACACCCCCATGCTGGCTTGAGTGGATAACCAACCACTGTTTGTATATATACATATATATATATGTACTTAACGCTAAACGGAGAATGCCTGGTGAGTGAAGTCGTGTACCAAGCCACAGTCACAACCGGAGACAAAAGAGAGACATACATCGGTCTCACAGCTACCAAGGCAAGATACAGAAACCACTTGATGTCATTTAGACATGAAAAGAGAAGGAATGAGACTGAGCTGAGCAAGCACCTGTGGCAGCTAAAAAAGGCAAATAAGGAATTCAACATCACGTGGAAGATTCTCGCCAAAGCAAAATCTTACACCAACCTTACAAAACGTTGCAATCTATGTACAACAGAGAAGTTCTTTTTCATCTGTAGGCCTCACATGGCAACACTGAACAAGCGCAACGAACTTGTCTCTACATGCAAACATCGACGCAAGTTCATCCTAAGGTACAATCGAACATGTGAAAGCCAGAGATTGTAGTGCGAGCTTTCGTGTGACTTAGGTTTCGTATAAGAGTTGTAGGCGATTGAGAGCAAGCACACGCTTTTCATTCTAAAATTTCTTAAAAATTTAAATTTCAAACGTTATATGTAACCATTTTTATCACGCGATCACTTTTCTTGATGTAGACCCTGACGCTTCAGTGTTATAATGGAGTTTAACTGAAGAGTGGGTCACCTTTTCGGTAAGAGAACAATTAACTACATACTAGAAAAAAAAATTATTGCAGTGGGGAAGGACTAGAAGGGAACATACGAACCATTCGAGCTAGTCCACCCAAAAACTACAACATACACTTAAATAAAGAAAAAGAAAACAGTAAAATTATATCTTAAATGTAAAAACTATAATTGATAATATGTCATATCCTAGATTAATCTAATCAGAAAATAATTGTTACATCGATCACTACATCCAAGTGGCATGCGGGTGGTCAGGGTCGAAACTCTTCTTTTTATGGAAGTCATTACATTGTTTTTTAAATAATGATAGGCTTAAATTCGAGGTCCTGAGTTTATCAGGCAGGTTGTTCCATAAATAAGGTAATCTATTGAAAAAAGTGCCTTTGAATAATTCGGTTCTGCCTTTATTAATCTTAAACTTATTACTAGAATATGACCTTAATCTTCTGTCTGAGCAAAATTCAAAATATCTTTCAACTGAATAGTTATAGTAACCACACTTCAGTTTATAAAATGTTGTTATGTCTTTAACTTCTCTTTGGTACACCAATGGGAGAAGATTGAGCTGCTGAAGGCATTCATTGTAAGTTAAGTTAGGTAGGAGAAGCCGCGTAGCACGTCGTTGGACACCCCCAATAAGCTTTATTAAGGTGACAGACTTTGGACTCCAGATTTCAGAGGCATACTCCAAATGCGAACGCACAAGGGCCACGTAGAGAGATCTAAATGTCTGCAGAAACTGATCGCTCCTGCTGCTGAGTGAACAACGGATAAAACCTAACATCTTATTAGCTTTGTTCACCTGGACGTAGATGTGCTTATTAAATCGAGCATCACAAGTGATGAGAACAGTAAGGTCACGCTGAGCCTCCTCTCTCTTAAGTGCCTTTCCCCTCATATTGTAATCATAAATTATTGGATTGCGCTTCCTCGTTATCGTGCAAAGCGAGCACTTATCCATGTTAAAAGCCATCTTCCAAACATCACTCCAGTCAACCAGGTTATCAATCAATCAACTCTGCTCTTTGAATATAGTGGTTACCTGGTACAAAAACCTACCAGACAAAAGATTATTACGCTCAGCTTAGTCTGCACACAGACGTTTTTTCCTTTTTTCATGGATAATCATTATGAAGGCATGAAAACAACCACTAGTGCTTGAACTAGTGCTCAATTAATCCCCCGTGGTTTTATTTATACTTGCTTGCTTAAGGGTCTTGGAAAAAATAAAAGGTCTGTGCAGCAGACTAAGCTTAGTTTCACAGTAAGGTGCACTCTCGCCAAAATGCCCAACTTCAATTTAAACAGCAATAGTGTGTTGAAAAATGCTTTATGATATAAGAGAGTTTTGGGTTTCATCTCCATTTTAATCATTCCTTTCAGGTAACATTTGTTTTGTTTTTCTAAAATAACTCTTTTTTCATGTAGGATGTGACATAAAGCAAGAACTTACAATGGTGAAAAACAGAATATACTTAACAATTATTCCTCTAGTCCGAATGGGCTCTGAGTCAATAGCCTATGGGGCTGAACGCCGAATTGGCTCTTGACTCAGAGGCTATAAGGGCGAGAGGAATAATTGTTTTGGTAAAATCCAACTAGTTGGTCAAAAATATCGAGAATAAGAAAGATTTAGCTACTTAAAGCTAGACTTTAATCCTTTTTTGCCGCCAAAAAGCCGGTGCTTTTCACTACTAGTGGGCTATAACATATAGCCTAGTAGTAGCTCAACCAATCAGAACACAGCATTCATAATAGACCACTAGCTGGATTTTACTAAAAATGAAATATTTGTCAACAAGGGAATCCATGTATATGAGCCACAGAGTTTTAGACAGTTTTGCATTACTGCAGGGGCCACAAAGCTTTTTGACACCGTCCTTAGTGCAATGACATCTGCAAGGCATTCATCAGAACGAATTATCCTAAATAAGAGAAGGGTTGTATCATTTATATGTNTGCGAACGCACAAGGGCCACGTAGAGAGATCTAAATGTCTGCAGAAACTGATCGCTCCTGCTGCTGAGTGAACAACGGATAAAACCTAACATCTTATTAGCTTTGTTCACCTGGACGTAGATGTGCTTATTAAATCGAGCATCACAAGTGATGAGAACAGTAAGGTCACGCTGAGCCTCCTCTCTCTTAAGTGCCTTTCCCCTCATATTGTAATCATAAATTATTGGATTGCGCTTCCTCGTTATCGTGCAAAGCGAGCACTTATCCATGTTAAAAGCCATCTTCCAAACATCACTCCAGTCAACCAGGTTATCAATCAATCAACTCTGCTCTTTGAATATAGTGGTTACCTGGTACAAAAACCTACCAGACAAAAGATTATTACGCTCAGCTTAGTCTGCACACAGACGTTTTTTCCTTTTTTCATGGATAATCATTATGAAGGCATGAAAACAACCACTAGTGCTTGAACTAGTGCTCAATTAATCCCCCGTGGTTTTATTTATACTTGCTTGCTTAAGGGTCTTGGAAAAAATAAAAGGTCTGTGCAGCAGACTAAGCTTAGTTTCACAGTAAGGTGCACTCTCGCCAAAATGCCCAACTTCAATTTAAACAGCAATAGTGTGTTGAAAAATGCTTTATGATATAAGAGAGTTTTGGGTTTCATCTCCATTTTAATCATTCCTTTCAGGTAACATTTGTTTTGTTTTTCTAAAATAACTCTTTTTTCATGTAGGATGTGACATAAAGCAAGAACTTACAATGGTGAAAAACAGAATATACTTAACAATTATTCCTCTAGTCCGAATGGGCTCTGAGTCAATAGCCTATGGGGCTGAACGCCGAATTGGCTCTTGACTCAGAGGCTATAAGGGCGAGAGGAATAATTGTTTTGGTAAAATCCAACTAGTTGGTCAAAAATATCGAGAATAAGAAAGATTTAGCTACTTAAAGCTAGACTTTAATCCTTTTTTGCCGCCAAAAAGCCGGTGCTTTTCACTACTAGTGGGCTATAACATATAGCCTAGTAGTAGCTCAACCAATCAGAACACAGCATTCATAATAGACCACTAGCTGGATTTTACTAAAAATGAAATATTTGTCAACAAGGGAATCCATGTATATGAGCCACAGAGTTTTAGACAGTTTTGCATTACTGCAGGGGCCACAAAGCTTTTTGACACCGTCCTTAGTGCAATGACATCTGCAAGGCATTCATCAGAACGAATTATCCTAAATAAGAGAAGGGTTGTATCATTTATATGTGCTACTGTCTAAGTCAGGTATGCAATCCACTTCAAATTGATCATTCGCTCTATCTCCGAAGTAGTCGCACAAATCAAGAGGGTCTGGAAACAGAGCAAATTATGGGGCTATCTTGCGCAAGACGGACAGTTAACACTATTGTCAACACCATGGCAGAAAACCACTACCACTCATTTCAAAATTTCATGTTAGATGCTGTTAAAACCAAGTGACTGTTAGTCTCAATAATTGACGATTACACTTGAGTGCACACTAAAAGAAGGCGGTAAGGGGAAAAAGCATCAGAGGCAAAGTCTCTGTACACAATTGTTGTCAAAGCATTTAAACAAATACAAGCCATAAATGTAGAGGAGGCAAATTTCACGCACTATGTAAATGGAATAAGCATAGCATCCTGCCAGGATATCATTACATCTGCTTGATGCAAGCATAACATAAGCCAGTCATATGCTTCCGTTATGCCAAACTGTCTTACTGAAGCCTTTTTTAACCCAGATCTTCAACGGCAAAGACTAAACACTCACCAATATTCTGAAAATGACAACAAGCAAACAATGAGCAAAATGGACAACCATCACCTGGCTGATTTTGTTGAGTTACAACTGAAGTCCACAAATGACTTTGACGCAGCATATGACATAGTGATGAATGCTGGTTGAGGTGATTACATGCTAAAGTTTGTTGCTATTCAGCCAGGGGATTGGCCTTGTCAATTTTACTGCCGTCAGATAATCTACCACTGCCTTAAAAAATATATTCTCTACATGATCATTCCACATATTCATATCCATCCATTACTGGTTCTGACAAGGAGGAAAGCTTGGAAGTAAAATTGACCTCTCAGCCCCGTATCCTGTCTGTCATTCCAACTGTCATTGGTCCTCTGCACATCTCCTTATTTGGGCAATGACATCATAATTTAATGCGTTAAAACTCCCCTTTAACACAAGAATTGAGCTTGGCAACAATGATTTTCTAAACCAGCGTACTCGAGTTAGTAAGAATAGCAGTTGCCCTAACAGATATCGAAAACAGTGCTAATACAAAATTTGGGGATATGAACAAGGTGCATTATGGTCAATGTGAAAACAGTAAATGATGGAGACTAAGTTATTATAATACTAACAAACTAGCACTTACAATTTCAAAATTAACATAATAAAGGCGAGTTAGGTTACTAATTTATACTTAGAATTTAACCTATTTATAACACAACTTGGCCATAATGATGATTCCTTTACTACTGGTAGCAAAGAGTGCAGAGGATGGCAGCTTTTGGTACTTACTTTTGGCATTTCACATTTTTTCACCAAAAAGTAATTAGAACTGTTGACGTTATTGAAGGAGAGTAATCCCCCTTCTGAACGCAATATGATAAAATTAATAACTTGTTTCGACATTCTTCCGAAAACTCGTACTAGAATGACAGTTTCCTGCCGTGTGCTATGTAATATTGAGAAACTCTCTCTCTCAAACAAGCGCTTACAATTTCACAATTAACATGAGAAAGGCGAGTTGAATTACTAATATATACTTAGAATTTAACCTATTTATAAATCATCTTATTGATGATTCCTTTACTCGTGGTAACAAAGAGTGTAGAGGATGGCAGCTTCCAGTGCTTATTTCTTTGCATTGCACTTTTTTTCACCAAAAGGTAAAATAATAATGAAATGCGAAACTCCCAAGACTTGGAAGGCAAATTTGTTTAAGTATTTCTACACAAAAAGGTTATTGGCTGGCTGCCCTTATTGTCAGTGGTTTTAAATACTATATATACCGTTTTTTGTTTATTAACCATCCTCTAGATAAAATGTATCACATTCGTCCAGTGATAATCATGTACACCTTTTTGCAGTCAGACTAGCAATAAAAATAGAAATCAAAGAGGAAATGGAGGAAAAATTGAAAAAAGAAAAAGCAAGAGCAGAGAAATATAAAAGAAGATTCAAAGAGGAGAAAGAGAAGAACAAAAACGAAGAATTGGAACAGACAAAGGGTATGTTAACCTCTTAGCTCGATTGCATATATATAGCCAAGTTGACCTAGTGCAATTTTTATAATTTCTACGTTTTTTTATTGAATTTAGTATTTATTTAGATATAAGATATACTTATTAAGATTTTATTGTTATAATTTTAATTATAGAATATTCCATATCTAGTTTTTTAACTCTTAATTTTATTGTGTTTGTGGAATACCTGTAAATTAGCTGGCGTGCTTTCACAGACCCCGATTTTGGTTCCGTCTGTGAAAGCACACCATTATTGTAGCTAAGTGTATTTTCACAATAAACTCTTATTGTATTGTATTGTATATATAGTGTTTAAGATGGTGATGATGATAATGTTGATGATAATGATGATGAATGAGTTTGCAGATTGCCATATGTGATTAATCGGCTTAGGATCACCTTTTTCGCTTTACTCCCCCTCGGCTGGAGGAATTGAAGTTTTTGCTTTTGTGACATTGACTCCTTAATCGGTAACTCCATTTGGCACCTCCCCGGTTCTTCCACAGTTGTATTTCCCGACGCAAGTGACACTTCATTTCGCGGGCTTTTCCGCCCTGTGCTAGCGTTATGTTCACGATCAATTTATTATTTGGGTCAAAGTTCTATTTTTTGCGAATTGATAGCTATTTATGTTTTGCTTTCTTTCGTAGAGCAGTTAAAGCACAGGAAGGTGAAAATTTTCACTGACAACCAGAGTGCTGCCAGAGAACTTTCCTTTGGTGGCTTTAAGGTCCTACAGTCGGTGGCTCTAAGCACTTTTCATGTTTGTTTTTGCATGGTATTGCCTTGGAAGCGCAGTGGATCCCTAGATTGCTCAACGGAAGGCTGATCTTTTGCGCCGTTTCATTTGACAAGGATGATTCGCCAGCCAATCCCTCAGCTCAGCTTCCGTGTTTTGACTCCTAGTTTGCTTCTCCTGGTTGTAGGTGTGTCCGATGCCTTTGTCCGAGACTGGAGTGGAAAGGATAACTGGATTTTTCTTTCCAGTGGGTCTCGTAGTGTTAGCCTGATTTGGTATATTTGTGTACCTGGTTTGGCATATTTGCACGGCATGTGAGCCTGATTTGGCTTATTTTTTAGCCTGATTTGGCATAATCTTGAGCCTTGAGCCTGGCATAATCTTCAGCCATGATATGAAAGGTGTGTGTAATACCTTTATTCCCAATGGGTTTGTGAATAATGTGGATCATCTGTGGCACGATTTTAAAAGCAATTTTGTCTTGGCTGCTGACCGTCATGCACCAATCATACAAAGACATGTGAGAGGGATAGCTGAACAAAGAGATCAAATCAGTCATGTGTCAGCGGGACTCACTCCTTCCTGCCATTACTATTATGGTCAACCTGTCCTTGGAAACTGGATATTTTGCTGACACTTGGAAAACCTTTGTGGTATACTAATCTTTAAAAAAACCCGGCCTCAATCTACTGTTCAAGAATTTCCGTCCAATAAGCAACTTGCAGTTCGTGTCATAATTAAAAGAGCATGTGGTGGCCTCTCAGATTCAGTGTCACATGACTAACAATAACATCTTCCCTCAACTGCAATCTGGTTGTTGCTCCCATCACAGTACTGAGACTGCATTGTTAAAGGTAACAAACAATCTACTCATGAATATGGAGAAGAGCCGTGTATCACTCTTACTACTACTGGATTTGAGTGCCGCCTTCGACACCGTTGACCATGGAATTTTTCTACAATCGCTTCAAACAAAACTGGGTGTCTGTGGTACTGCTCTTTCCTGGTTCAAATGGTACTTGGAACAGAAATATCAAAGAATCTGCATAAAAGAGCTCTCAAAGCCGCTTGACTTAAAATGTGGTGTCCTCTAGGTTCTTGTCTCGGACTGCCTTTGTTTACTATTTACACACAAGATTTGTTCTCTGTTCTGGGGTCTCGTTTCCCAACTTCACATGCATGTGCGGACAACACTCAATTGTGTTTGTCATTTAGTCCTAATGTTAGCACTAGAGAGGCAGATGACGTTACAGCCATTGAAAACTGTATTCAAGACATCACCCAGATGATGTGCGAGAAGAAATTATTGCTCAATGATGACAAGACTGAGCTCTTGCTTGTTGGGTCATGCAATCACATAGTAAAAGTATCAGTTGCTGGTGTTAGAGTTGGTGACTATACATATGTTCTTTGCCATCAGTCCGTAATTTGGGCATGTGGTTAGACTCTCTTTTGAATACATTACCAAGACATGCAGCAGTGCATTTTACTATCTCTATAATGTCAGACACATTGGAAATACTATCAAGAAGCAGCACTGAGTCTCTAGTTCACACCTAGAGTAGACTACTGTATTAGCCTGTTGCATGGTTTGCCAAAATATCAGCTATCTAAGTTCCAGCGTGTTTTAGAAGCTGGAATCTTTCGCTATTTCTCTTTCACTTTTTATAAGACAGTTCATTGAATTTGCCGGAAAGTAAGCCTTAGAAATTCAAAGGTTTGATCAATTTATGCTTGCATGTTCTAGTCTTTTCATAAACTTTATAGAAGAACATCTCTGGGCAGGGAATAAATCAGCACAGAATTTAATTATCCGTGAATTTCTGTAATCTTCCATCATTCTGCTAACAATAAGCTAGCCGTTGATTCAGTCATCTTACTTGTTTGTGGACTGAGTTCCAATCAAAGATTTCTGAACTCGTCACAACAAACTCACTCATACTCCAAGTGTTGTATATACACAGTCATATGCTCCTTATAATTTCATCTGCGCTTAACGAGCATCTCTTGGTCCATAACTTTCAAAACGACTGCTTCACAGAATGTCAGTGGTAATATACAATGCAAAAGAGTTAGTCCATGGGCCAGAAAGTGAAACCCTCACCTCCCACGGGGATTTTTGCAGACATGTATAACTCCAAAGCTTCACCTAAGGGTACCTGAAAAATGCATGTTTGCACTTGATTGCTTGTTGGGGGTGGCTGTGCAGCGACATTCTTTTCCTCAGCAAAAAGTCACAGGTTAGACCAAGAGGTGAGTTAACCTCTTGAAACACCATTACCGACAAAAAGCGCAGTGAGTCTTTTGTAAGTTAAAACTCTCTACTTTACTTTTCACCTCCAAAAACTACTACTGCGCATGTCACAAGTTTAATTTAGCCCTTACTTGGATATGTAACTAACACATTTTACGACAGTTCTAATAAAAAAACTCTTTAAATAACCAACCTATGTGAAATTGTGGTTGTTAATGGCCAATGAGAACATATTGCTAATAAATGACTAATTCATAGTTTGCTGCTTATGGAATATTTTCAAGCCAAAGACACGTCAACAGTGCTTTGTAAGGTCCTCTAAAGTATAGCACAATATTTTCCACAGCACTGCATTTCATTATTTTATCTAAGCTTTTTATGGTACATTTGTTATAAAAAAACTTGTTAATCATTTAATGCAGTTTATTTCAAGACACATATGATACTCCTTTACTTGACATCTCATGAGGCACAGCCCACCTCTTCTCTAACCCACAATCCTTTGAAACTCGGATTCAGATACGCCATTTTGGAAAATTCAGTTCTGGCAGCCAAAATTATAAAAGTGAGCTTGTGTATTCATCAGGTGTTAACAAATGCGAAGTGATTGAAGTTGCATTTGAAGCAGCAAATAAACATGAAGTTCCTGCAAACCAAGATAAAAACCTAAAGGAGGGGGGTGAATAGGTAAATGGATCGGCGGATTTTGTGAATATTTTTGCCCGGATTTCGGATTCAAAGCAAGATTTTAACGGATTTCCGGATCCTGCAACTGCAGCGGAATGCGGATTCATCTATTTTTTGGGCCCGGATTTTGGACCTT